ATTCTGGCCACAACATCGCACCATCGCGTAGCAGTGAAACGATTAACACCATACAGTAGGTATACACACTACAGAACATAATTAAAACCAATATAATATAAGTGGAATATAATTTCGTTTAGTATTTTACGGACGGCCAAATTCAACATTTTCAAAATCGATTGTAACTACCTATAAGACAATGAAAACTGGGACGAGACAAAATGTATATAACGTCTACATATAGTGACCGATCGCAGTTTTGTCAGAATTCTCCCTTTTTTACACACTATGTACAGGACACTCAAAAAAGAGATGAACAAACATTAAACAAATAATACAACCATTATTTAACAATAACGACTTAACACTTAGAGTTTTCAATTTCAAATATTTGTTTAATGTTTGCTCTTTACCAGACGCCCTGCTCATATTTTTTTAGGTTAAACTATGTACGCGGGTCTTCATGTCAACGAACAAGACTTATGCGTAGGTACTATTTGTGAGGACGTCGGTCGTATAATAGTTTGTTTAGTACCATCCGAGTGAAGTTTTACTAGGATTTCAACTTTTGTATACCTATATAGTACCTATATATTATAATAATATGTACCTACAGGACGCTCAATGAATACATGGCCAAACGCCTAAATGTTATACTATTAGAATGAAGATATATTATAATAATTTAAGAATAACTCGTCTTGAAGATTTAAATTTCAAATATTTGGTCGATGCAAACATGTTTGCTCTTTACTGAACAGTGAACACTATAGGTGTCCACAAAATGCATTATTTGTCAGGTCGTATAGTCCATTTAGTCCCTGGCCTTGGCTACTGAGAGCAGTTTTGTTAGGACTTAGGACTCCCACTTATATATATATATTTAATTATATTAAAATATATACAGACTACAAGACAGTGACGTAGTCAGGGGGGGCTGAGGAGCTTCAGCCCCCCCCCCCGTAATGTTAAGGAAATTAAAAAATAATTTATATGGTCTATGGTAGTCTCTCAAAAAATGCAGTAAAAATTGATCAGCCCCCCCTCCCCGAAAAAAAATTCTGGCTACGCCGCTGCTACAAGCCGCCCAAATCATAATGATATAATTGATAATTAAAGAACAACGTGGCCTAAAGTTTTAAATTTATAATATTTGATTGATGTTTGCTTTTTACTGGATGCCCTGCATAGGTATGTCTTCATATCAACTTACCAAACTTACGAATTATTCGTCATGAGTCAGGACGTCAGGTCGTATAGTTTGCTTAGTATCACCTGACCATAGTTTTTCTAGGACTCTCTTTTATGTATATACATATTATACCTACTAAATATATTATAATATGTACCTACATTGTACAGGATGCCCAATAAAGACATGGTCCAATATTATACAAATAGAACAAAGATATATGATAATTAAAGCACAACGCGGGACTTAAGTTATACATTTCTAATATTTGGTTGATGTTTGCTCTTTACTGGACTCTACATGTACAATTTTTAGTAGGATACGATTACGGAGTTCGTGGTTCACTACCTTCCACTGCACCAATTGTGCACTTAGACCAGTAGTCTTATGTGCAGTATCTATGCGTTTATCTATAATATATAAATCAATGTTTAAAGTACATAATTTCAGCAGTGTGATTAAATCATCAAAACCTTACAAAAGTATCTATTAATTTGATTGAAATAAAGACATTTCTTTAGTTAAATGTTATTAACATACCTATAATATTATCATATTGTCATATTGACTCATCAATAACGAGTACACCCGATAGGTACCTACTGCGTATAGTTCACCAGAGACGACTGAAACCGTAATCCCTACCGAAAAAGACCAGTTTTTAATCAAATCCTTGAAAAAATCTTGGGACTGAAACTTTAAATATTTTTTTTTTTTTTTGGGGGGGGGGAGCAGGAGAACCGAAGCTTACTTATACTTCGATGTAGAGGTATTTTTGGTACCAAATTCCAATAGATATTTTATCTATTTATAATCAGGGGTTAAAGTGGGGAGGACTCAGCCTCCCTACCTCTGACGGTGATTAAAAAGCGTCCCTTTTAACAAATTAGGATTTTATACATACAATTATACATGGAACGCTTAAAACTATATGGAGACATTAGTCCCCTCTGGAATTTTTTCCCACTTTAATCCCTGTTTATAATGAATAGTCGTAATAAGTAATAACTGATAATTATATTATCAAATCGTATATCTGTAAAAGTATATCAATACCTAGCAGTGTCGGCTGGGATCTAAAGGGCCCATGAGGCAATTTTTTCAAATAGCCTCTCAAAAATACCCTTTTAACTTTTTTGTTAACAGCTTTCACTGTAGTAAAAATGTTTAAAATGTTAACAATATCTATATTTATACAATATGTAACCACAAAATGTAATATGCATAAAAATTAATTAAATAACTTAACAGAACTAGAATGTTATATTGTTCAATTTATATTAGTAGTCCTTTTAATAAACTTGATGAGTTAGCCTCATTAGGCCTCATCTTGAAAAATACAGGTCGGGGCCTCGGAGGCGATCGCCTCCTAGCCGCCTGGGCCAGGCCGACACTGATACCTACCTAGTTAGAATATTATTATTTTTTTAGTACCAAATTGTCCTATTAGGTGTCCATTAAAATAAGCACAAATTTCCATGGTAAGTACCTAATGGACAATAAGCCGGTAGGTAGGTAACTATCCAAAGTATATCAAAGTATAATATCATGGAAATCGGGGATGCCGGTAAAAAATAAATTTTATATTTTAATGACATTTTCGTTTTATACGATTATAATATGATAGCCCTACAGGCTGCAGAATATGTTGCATACTAATATACCATCCATAAACCTAGAAAACCAGTTACTCATTAGTTCGAACAGTTAATATATTATTTGAAAAAAATTATTAAAACAGATTCCTCAAGAGGTAAGTGACTATAATCTATATTTTGTACATTAGCCTATAAACTATATGCTGAGAGATAGAAATATTATAAATTATAATTTATAAAACGAACCAGGACATTACCACCCTAACACGGTAATTGACTGAACGGTTTAAATACACAATATCGTATGTTATATTATTTAGCTCACTCAAATCAAATAAATAGGCCATAGCTGGCGGTATACAAACTACGAACAGCATGAAGTATAGGTATACAAAAGAGGTGGTTGACAGAAAAAAAAAATACTAATTAATTAACGTATGCTTCGTGCGTGTTCGACTTTATGGTACAGTAATATACTCTCGTGTAGTCGTGTTAAATGTTAATTATAACTTATAAGCATTTCTGGTATTTTGTATTTTTCTGTTTTATTTTGTTTTTCGTAACTACTGCCGTAGAGGACCATAAACTGCGTAAGGTCACCGGTTTTATATAATTAAATGTACCTATATACTATATAATATATTATATATCGATCTACATATTGCGTATAAAGTGCGTTAGTTTTTTTTCATTTTTAAAGCTTTAATGTATTTATACGTAGGTATACAAAACACTTCTAGAGTACCTACCAGTAAGTATATATGTATTATATACCCACTGTGCAAAAATACATCTCAGGTTTATCACATAGAAGTTATGCATAATGTTGTGAAGTTTAAAATTATTCCCAGAGACCTCCTAGAGACCATGCTGGCAATGCTAATGCCAAGTCACCGAGAGTTAAAATGTGAGGTTTAATCTGAACTTCCCTCCAACTACTCATTGTAACTTCTATAATCTTGTTATTTTATTTACATTCTATAGAAATGTAATAGTTATGTTAAAGGGGAGTTCAAAATGCAACTTCCCTTGGACTTATAATTTTTATGTCCTTACAACAACACATTGTAACATCTATAAATAGACACTTTTCAACTTATCTGTTGATATTATGCATACCTAATATCTATATATTATATTACAAGTCATTCTTAATACTTATAATTTTTCAGTTTTGAATAGGTATATTAAAAGAAAAAACAGGTTTAATCAGCTAAAAACAATTTTTTATTAAAATGTATAAATCTTGTAATATAATTAATATTTAAGTATAATGATTTAACTATCGTTACAATATATACTAGTATACTACTAGATAATTCAAAAGATGTGTTATACAAAATAATAGTATGTAGTTAAAAAAAATCATACAATGGGTATACTTGTAATGAGTAAATACTCAAAAACTACAAATTGATCATATAAAATAAAAATTGTAAAATGTCATTCATTAGCTGTATTAATATTATGTAAATCTTATAGCATAATTAATATATTTAGTAGAATACTATATTGAACTATCTTGTTATAATATATAATACAATATAATTCAAAAGACGTGTTATACAAAATAATAGAAGTTAAAATAAAAAAATTCATACAATAGGTATACTTATAAATTATAATGAGTAAATACTCAAAAACTATACAAAATGATCATATAAAATAAAAATTGTAAAATGTCATCCATTAGCTGTATTAATATTATGTAAATCTTATAGCATAATTAATATATTTAGTAGAATACTATATTGAACTATCTTGTTACAATATATAATTACTATATAATTCAAAAGATGTGTTATACAAAATAATAGAAGTTAAAATAAAAAAATTCATACAATAGGTATACTTATAAATTATAATGAGTAAATACTCAAAAACTACAAAATTATCATATAGGTAATATAAAAATTGTAAAATGTCATACATTAGCTATTAATAATGTTTAAATGAAAAATAACAGAATAATCCAGTAAATGAATCCTATAATAAATAACAACTAAAATTAGAAAGAAAAAAACAAATACATAACAATAACTATAAAGATTGTAGGTATGTTATTATTATGAGTTATGACATATTATAGTTGTATAGCATACTAGGCGTTATATACACTAATCAAAATAATAAAAGATACCAATATTAAAAATATTTTGTAACACATATGAATGAATGTATTTATTATATTTTAATGATTTATTGTTAGCATACTGTTAATAACTACATTACTCAAAGGAGTGTAATAATGTCATAGCAATAGCTTTAGATTCTGATATTTTGATAAAAAAACATTTGAATGCTATATCAGACAAGTTAATATTAACAGGTTCAGATACATTAAGAGTATTTACAAAAAACATAGTAGTTTTATTTGAGTCTACAGGGGTTAAATACAATGGAGAAATATGATTGAATTTACAAATATTAAACAATAATTGTTCGTCGGAAGTTTTTATAATTTGTTTTATTTCGGAAATTGTATTACAAGTTAACATAATATATTTGTCTTTTACTTTATTACAATTGAATACACTGCTATTTACTTTTACTTCCTTATAATATGTAAAAAAAGGATTAAATACTGATTGTTGCATTGGAATTTCATTTTTAAAAATTGGAGAACTATCTAGTGATATGATAACTTGAGAATTATTTATATTTTGTTGTTCAATAATTCGATTACAAGCTTCTTGTAAAGGAAACCTCGAATTCTTTAGTTTTTTTTTTATGTCTTGCAAAAAGTTTTCAAATTTGAAGGCACTGAATTTATCAAGAGGTCCATGCAATTTTACACAATCAGGTAAATGAATTAAATTATGAACATTATAGTTCACAAACTCAGCACCATAATGAATAGGATAATCAATAACAAATTTAGTTAATAATACTTTTGCTTCATCATTAAATAAATAACAAGTATTGTGACTTATTAAAAGTCGAATAGCACAGTGCAATAGCATGAAATGGGAATATAAGGATTTTTTTAACTTGCCTTTTAAAACTATTGGCCCTGTGTACAGAACAAATGTACGGAATTCAGTTGCTTTCCAGTAATCAAAATCAACTAAAGGTCTAGGCAAACGAACGAAATCAGAAGGAATATATTGTCGTACATTTTCGATACTAGAATTTATATCATCTAAATTTATTTGGACAATTCTATTTGGTTTCTTTCCCTTAACCCAAAACTTAATAAGTTTTTTTACCACTCCAAGACAGACAACATGCATGTAATCTAATGTAACAGTTGATACCATATCAATTGGTAAGCGTTCCAAAGGTGAAAATCCTTTATGATAATCTTCATCTTTTTTTAGACGAAAACTATTATCTGTTCGCAATGACGAATTCACTCCCAAATATGTCATTCGACCTTCATAAGAACCCTCTTCAGTGCACATATTACAGCCAAAATAAGCATTGACCTTTAACGTTTAATATAAAGGCTTTCGCCGGAGCATCGCAAATCACTTGAACTAACGCAAAACAAAAATGTATTTTTTCTATTTGAATACCATCATTTAAAATTAGTTGAAGTTCATCAATAAAAGGTGTTAAAAAAGTTTCTATAGAATGGGGTTTTTTTTTATTACTGTAATAAATACCAATAGGAATAACTAGTTTTGACATACAAGGTATATTAACAATAGACAATAAAATTGGCCAAAATACACTTTTTGAAGCTTTAGCAATTGGAAGACCATCAATGTTTAAGCCTAATTCAATCATAACTTCTGCATTGTTGAAACAATTCTTATAAGTCTTGAGAATCGATCTAAACATAAAGTCTATACCGAGATGAATATAAGAACCTGGATCTACTGATATAATATTATATTTTTTAGGAGTATTTAATAACGTTCTAATATCTTTTGGAACATCATGGCCTTCTGACCGAAATATTGATAGTATGTCATTCATACAATTGTGAGAAACATTGTATTTTGCAGCTAATTCAGATAATTTAGTTGTTAGGGTTTTTTTTTTATTTGACATAATATGGTTTTCATCAAAATTGAGATCAATATCAATTGGTAAGATAATATTATTATCTGGTGGAAAAAATGTATTAATTAAAATATTATCATTACTAGTATTTATTTCTGAAGTTGAGGCATTTTCTTGAACTTGTTGAACTGATTTATATGTTAAAGATGAATCTGTTGAACTTGAAGAATGCAATATACTTAAATTATTCGTTTTTCTTGTGTCACTAACTTTGGACTTAACAAAACGTTGAAAATGTCTCTGAGACATTGAATCCAATGTACAGCGTTTTTTTCGCTCAATTTTCTGGAAAAAAAAAGGTGTCTATTATATTAAATAGTTAACACTAAGACTAAATTGAATATTAAATTAAAGTACATCTTACATTTAAGAAATAGCATAAAAGGAATATAATTATTGAAGTAAAAAATTTGTAACAGCTGTACTGTAAACTATATATATATCTGGATTCTGTTAACACATTATAAAACATTTATATTCAATGTATTATTATAATATACACATTTTGTTTTATAATTATACTTTTTGTTTTCATAGCAATTTATTGATGAGGTTGAGAAAGCCTGTCCATATCTCTTTTGTAACGCTGAGTACCATGTCTGAACCAATCTTTTATAAACTTCTCAAAGTCACTTTCAGTACAATTGAATTTAGCTCTAGCAATATCTAATGAAAACAAATAAATTATATTATAAAATGCCAGTAATAAACACAACATATTATGTTTATGTAGGTTAATATAAATTACCCAACATATATCTCATCAGTTTTAAATCTTTTAGTTTAAAGTTATGTTCTTTTGTGTGATGATCTCTACCGAACCCTGTCCATGAACATCTCTTTGCTAATTCATTTGAAAATATCCTTTCTAATAACCTTTTAACCAAATTCTTTGAATCAGTTCCTCCAATAACCATCATATAAGATTTCTGAAATTAAAATTGAAACTACTATATATTTATCAATAATAATAATAATAATAATAATAATAATAAATTCCAACCATTTTATTACTAAAATCTTCATTATTGGCCATTTTTAGTTCAATATTAGTTAAATCATCAATTAAGGTAAGGGGAAATAAACAAACAAATTCATCATCAATTGGTTGTGTTTCTTGTACAGCTTTTTCAGCAATTTTTTTTTCCATTTTAGACAGTCTAGAATCTATTCTTTTTACATACAAATTAATAGATAAGACAGTTTCAAGAATTTGATGCATTTGTTTTTCATGGTTTAGTGTTGTGTTCTCATCAATATTATTACAATTATTTGCTTGTGTACAAACTGTATTATTTGTGTATTTATCTAAATTACAAATACTAATAATATTTGTATCATTTAGATCAGAATTTTGATTCATTTCGAATTCAATTTGGTTCATAATTCCACTTTGAGGACTTTCCATACACAATGATGTGCCATCAAGTGCTAATATATAAAAAAATATAATTTTAATTTAATTGAAATCTAAAGAAAAATATTTTATGAACATATATAATAAATATATATGTACATACCATTATTTATAGCAGGATAGTTGCAACCGTTTAATGATTCAAAAGCATCTAAAATATATAAGTATTTTAAGTATTTATAATATACTTATATTGTTTCTAAGTCAAAGACATGTTATAAAAATATATATATATATTATAATAAATTATATTATATCAGAAAATAATACTAACCTGACATATACTTTGTTAAATTTAAAGAACTAGACATATTTGTTGGTGTATTTTGTATTTCCTGAATAATCCGTTTTTTAGGAGATAATATTTTTATTGGGGATAACTCATCACTACTGGAATCTATAAAAATAATTAATTATTTAAGAGATGTCAGTTGAAAAATTCAATTTTTGAGTATAAAAACTAAAAACATAAATTTTTGTATGTATACTACCGTCAGTACTAGCTACAGGTGACTCATTTCCATTATTATTTGAAAAACTTGAAAATAGTTTTTTTGCTACTTTCTTTCTTTTTCCTCTTCCTAAATTTATTGGGTTAATTGGTTCAGACTCAGACATAGATTCATCTACTAATAACTGCTCACGTTCTTTTGCCTTGCTAATAGAGTCTATTAAAAAAAATATAGGTTTTACATTTATAATATGGTTATAGGTAGGAATAAATATGTATTTTTAATAGTTTTATGAAAAAATATTAATATAATATGAAGTATATTCTACTTTTCTCCTCTTATACCATCATCCATCAAGGGCTGGATGTGAAAAAATAAAAAGTAAAATAAGAAATATCACCATAATATGGTAGACCAATCATTTTCACATCGTAATCCAACCAATCATTAGATGGGTTTCCACATTTGTTGATTAATGCACTTGTCATTTTTTGTTTAGGCCATTTGCATATAATATCACCATTATCTCTTTTAAATAACCAGTTATTAGGAACAACAGAACACTCCTTTGTTTTTAAAAATATTATGACATTCCACTGAAAATAATATAGATTACATTTTTTATTATTATTAAAAAAAAAATAATAATAATAAAATATACCTATTACATTTACTCATTTTACCTAGTAACTTTAAATATCAGGCACATGGAATTTTTAACTAAATATATATTTATATAATATATATTATTAATATTTAACATTTAAGTACATGCTGCTTTATAATCTTACTCAGAAAATTAATTATTTTACCCTTTATGCTATCTCTAAAAGTATAAATTAATATTTAAAATTTAAGATTATAAATAGATTAAGTACTATTACTATACCTACCTATACATGTATTTAATTATCATATAAAATATACAATATAAAAATCTTGGTTATGCACCTGCTATAATAGATGTAAATATATATAATATATATATATATTATATATTATTAGGTACCATGCTAAAAGCTTTATCGCCTGAGAGGGCGCTACACCCGCTTGCATTTTCTGTCTTACAAACGCATACCCATGAAAAAATATTTTATTTTGTTATATTTTGTCATGCCCATACCTCACATAGCAATAAATTGTACTCAAAGTAGATCACGTTTAGCTGTTATTTTACAAATTTAAGTGAATTATTCCATTACAAAATTTAAAAGTAAGATATTATTATATTATAGACAATCTCATAAACTTTTTATTAGGTAGGTTTCTATATTTTTATTTCAGAGCGAGTTAGAGTACCTATTTTAAAATTGTAAATTGTTTGTACATCTTAAAATACCTACTCATAACTCGTTTTAAAATTCAAGTAGGTATAACAAAAAGCTTATGACATTGCAGATATAATAATCTTAGGTAGGTATATATACCTTTAAATTTTATAAAGGTGAAATCACTATCAATTTTAAACTAACGGGGCTAAACGTGATCTGCTGAGCGCAAAATTTGGTATGTTACAAACTTGTAAGACGGAGACAACAAATGTCACGCGGTAGTGTAGGTCTGTATATATGATGCATGACAAAATGGAATTATATAGTTTATTTTGACAATATGCTATAACATCTACCTAATACATATTATATAATACGGTGATATTTGTTATTATATTTATTAATACGCATAAATACGTTAGGTATTCAATACTTACCATTTTATTTGTTGGATTTGATGATGAAGCCAGCTGCTGCAACTGCTGATGGTTTACAAGACTTGCTTGGTTGTAATTATTTGATGGTGTAGTATTAATATTGTTTTGCTGCATCGTATGATTATTATTGAAAAATGAAAACAGAAAAATAGGTTAATTATAATTTATTACAGCGAAACTGTGAAAGAATTTAGACTGTTTAGAGTGCGTGCGGCGTGCCGGCGTGGTACCGTGCGAGTGTAACGTACGCGTCTGCAGTGTCGGCACCATAGAAAATGCACGACTTAACAACTGTACAACTTTTCCTGACTGCTGTAGTGCTGTCTGAGTCCGACACACAATATAATGTGATAACTGATAATACAATATTACGATTTACGATAATATAATACATTAATACCTATTAAAACATGGGGAAGTATAAAAATATAACTATAATTAGAACCCAAACAAACACAACTCACGGGCCGCGTCACACGCGCGCGAGTTCGGCGTATATATTTTACCAACCGTTGTCTCGTTTGTTGCTTTTTTATAGAACAACGTAGTAGTTGGTTTTTAACTTCTCATGGTAGTTATTATTTATCACTATAATTTCAGAACTAAATATAGGTATATATCATATTTTAGACTTCTAAGAGAAACCTATGCTATATGTTTTTGAGATGTTAATAATGCAACTAAAATAAAACTTCGCAGAGAAGTATTGATTTAAAAGTTGTATAGAAATCTTAAAGTAACGTTTCAATGATGTTACACTATATAAGCTTTGTCATTGAACTT